ATATACCAGCTTGGCAGAACTCACATACTGTAAAATGACTAATTTTCGCTGGGTTTAAATTTAGCTGATTTACCATTTCAGGCATATTCAGTGGGTTTTAAATTCATGGTTTTATCATTTAGTTTATGCGTTCTATGCTGAATTTTACATATTCACTGGGTTATAATTTAGCGCATTTTCCAGTCAGCGAAATAAGCAAAATTAAAACCCAGTGAATAATTAATCCATTTACAGTAATAAGATTATTATGAGGATACATCAAAGTATGCATGAGGACAGTACACTGCGCATCGACCTCCACTGCCCATTGGTCGATACTCTTGCAGTACTGTCTTCTTGCATACTTTGAAAACCAAGTGAATAATTACAGTAAGTGGATCATTCTTAGGTGGGAATCAGAACTTTGTGGATGAGGAAAGGTTCTGAACCGAGAAAATTGTGGAAAAAAAATCTATAGGGAATATTAAAGATGTAAAATATTTAATTACAACCCACATTTGAAATGAAAAAATTCCAGCAACATAGTTTGAGAAGGAAAAATTTTCAAAAGTGTTAACCTTGTACATTAGGAAAAAATTTCCACAATTCTTCTAGCCCTAATTGAAAAGAAGCATTTAGTAACTTTCTTTGTTTTTTGATACTATATATAATTTGTTTTCATGTTTATTAATTTAATTTTATTACTCAGAGCCCAAAAAGATTGTAATTTCTTTACGGTGATAATAAAGTGTTATTGTATTGCATTGTATAATTGTCACCCTCAAACTCAGCAATAATTGATCAAACATTGAAAATATTAAATAAATTGGCTTATTTTAGACGAATTGATCAAGTAAAAATATAGGTATTTAATGCTCTACACTACAACAATTTCAGTCGCCCAAAATATGGAGTCAATGCAAAGCTTGTCGACCAATCACAAAAAAGCTTGTCTGTTGACAGGTTTTTCAACGAATCAAATTCACTTTTGTAAATATGCTTTGATGGGTGGAAGCAGAGTCTAAGCATAGACCCTTTTTTTTGGGTTTCCTCCCACCTTTTTTTCTCTCACAGGACAAGTTTTTTGCATAATCCCCAAACTCAAACAGCAAGAATAAGTCAAGTTAAACTTTCAATGCCAAATTGTAGTACAGGAAATTCTTAACTTTTTTAAATACTACTGTACAATGACTAATTTTCACTGGGTTTAAATTTCACTGATTTATCATTTCAGGCATATTCAGTGGGTATTAAAAATTCACAGTTTTATCATTTAGATAATGTGTTCTATGCTCAATTTTACATATTTACTGGGTTTTTAATTTAGCGCATTGTGAAGACAGTGAAATGAGCAAAATTAAAACCCAGTGAATAATTAACCCTTTTACAGTATAGTTTTTCCCTGGAAAAATTTGGTTCAAAATTCAGCAAATTTTTAGGTATTTTTCTATAATTTTATTCTGGACTGAATGGACGTAATCTCTCATTGTTTATAGATCTTGATCAAATTTGTTTAAAATTGACAAAATTATTACCCACGCAGATACGTTTTATGAAATGCAACAAAAAGTAAACTTTGGTATACAAAAGGTTAAAGGTTAATGACATATTCTGGAGTGGAGGACGAAGTAGTTTCATTTTTTGACATCTTTAACACTCAGTTTGTATACTGTAGAATACTTTATTTTCGCTTGGAGTTTATTTTCGCTGAAAGGATGTTTCCGTGAAAATAAAATCCAGCAAATATACTTTTTTCCCTATATTTCACATTCAACTCGTCGAAAATCAGTGAAAATAAATTCCTTACAAAACACCCAAAATGCCTTTTCAACGAAAATTAATTCCAGCTAAAATAAAGTATTTCACAGTAGCCTGATTTAATTAACACTTTAAGCATCGGAGTTCAGGTACCATCCACAAAATAGTTCCATTTCAGAAATGTTGCAAAAATTTCTAAATTTTTGATCAAAAACTATAAACAATGTCATAATTTGTCTGTTTGGTCCAAAATTAAAAATGAATTCAGTAAAAATTACATAAAATGTGAATGTATTTAACCAAATTTACGGGTAAGTGGGAAAGAAATTTGGTGCTTAGTAGGGTAATGAAATATTTTCCATTTGAGTTCAGTCATCTTTTCATAAAATAAACCTAATCAATTTTCGCTATTTTTTTCCAAAAATTTTGACGACCTATAGCAAATTATGCCCATGTGGTATTTAACAAAGAATATAAATTTACAGAAAAATTTGCAAAATGTTGCACAAAAATGTGGGAGGAAAATCGTGTTGTTCATGGTTAATTACAGGGCCTGTTATTAGGTAACAATACTAGTTTTTTTTAAGGGCCATATGCTATGATTTTGTCACTTGTTTAATCTATGTTACATCGATACAAAATTATTAAATACATGTATAATGAAATATTGGCTCTGCACAAAATTAATTTTTGGATTTGAACAGAGAATAATTACTGTAATATCCATCCTCGCGTTGTCAGTATAATATAAGCGGGGGTGGCCATTAGCAGACATTCAATGCATTTTGTCAGGTTCAGCCAAATAAAATTAATTTTGTGTTTCTGGTAACTCTGCCTACTCATTTTTAGAGTAAAATCGATAAATTCATTTTTTTTAAAAATTTATTCACTTTCTTCTATGTAGTGAACGATTTTAAAGCATTTTACAAGTACTAAGGAATATATTCTGTAACCTATTTTTTACATCTGTCATTAAAACATTATTATGTTATGACTGGATTTTTTTTTTCAAAACAGATAAAAAAAGAAAAATTCCTGCCTTTGCATTTTAGAGTTACTGTAAAAATTTGTTTTATTTGGAATCACCAAAAATCTCCCTCTGTACGTTCCAAAGTCTTATTTATCGACCCAAGCAGTTTTTCACATGGATTCATATACTGTTACCACTTTATATATTTTAGCTGTAATTGATTTTCGCTGAAAAGAAGTTTTGGGTGTTTTGTATGGAATTTATTAATTATCACTGATTTTTGGCAAGTTCAATGTAAAATGTAGGAAAAAATGTATATTTGCTGAATTTTATTTTCACTGAATCGTTCCTACAGCTAAAATAGCCAAAAATGTATTCCAAGCGAAAATAAAGTATTTTACAATACATTAATGGAAAGAGGAATGCATTTTGAATTTTATTTCAATTATGTATTTTGTGTGCATTGTATGGGATTCGCAAGAATTAAAAAAACCTGCTAAGATAACTAGTCGACAGCCGCCTCACCTACTGTACGGAAATCTAGTTTCTTTGTTAGCGATGTAAAGTACTGTTTGAGTAGAGTAGGTACGAAAACCGAGTGCTGCAGGCATCTGCACACATTTCATACTCGGCATTCTGTACCTTCAAGTACTCCAACAGAACTTATGGTGCTCACGGGAGAGATGATTTACAGTCTACTAATTTCCCCTAATTTGATACTAACATTTGGCAATTTTTTCTGTAATTTCTTGAACCAAATTTCACCATTGGTAACAGTTTTTTAATCAAAGTTATTGACAGAATTATGCAGATTCATTTAGTGAAAAAAATTCAGCTTTTTAATGATTACGGCCGAAGGAGGGAAAAAAAATCCAAAATTTGTAGGGGCATCTCAAAACTGGATTGTTAGGATAATGGGAAAACGCCAGTGCGATGTCTTTTGAAAATCTTTTATAATTTAATTTATGTAGTGATGCTACAATACATTAGCTTGTGAATCCGCTCGTCTATTATGGAGTGTTTTAAATTTACTTGATAGGGGCAGAGTAGGGCAGGAAACATGAATTGTTAGTTACCTTTGTCAATTTTGATCATAGGAAGGGAGGTTAAATTTAATTACGCGAGAAGTAGGAAAGTCTTGAATTATTGTTCAATAGCAAAAGTGCATTCATCAGTCTTCTCCCCAGAAAAATAGCATAGAAGATACATAACAATAGATACGTTTATTACATCTATTGTTTTTATTGTCACACTCATTTGACTATTTTTTATCCAAAATTAAAATCGGGAACCCCTTCTCTATACAGTCTTAGGTTGCCCCCCCCAATTCATGACATGAAAATGTTGAAAAGCAACAGAACTCAACCTTGAACTTGAAGAAGCAATATCTGCTTTCTTAGTTACAAGGATGTAATAAGGCAGTGTTTATTAGGGGAGGAGTGGGGGGGGGGGGGTAACAACACCCAGGAATGGTAGTTCAATAAACCAAACTTAGTAACACATGGGTCATTCTATTGAATAGTATTTCAGGGGTTTCGTTAAGAGCCGGCTGCCGGCCATATGGCCTGATATAAGCCCAAATTAGCCGCCTACTTTCTAGTCTCCCACCCCGACTGTCTACACCAGATGCCCTGCAGAGAGCCTTTCTATTTATTTTTGGCGAATAAATGCATTTGTGACACCCCTGGTATTTAAATTTGTGTCGTGGCAAAAGTGAACTGATTATTTTTCATGCCCATATAAGGAGGGGACATGTTTACATCCCTGATTTAGGGGATACTGCATTTTTCTGACTTGACTTTTTTTTCTTTAAAAAAAAATAACATACAAAAATATAATATTGTACTTTATAATCTTCTTTTGGCCAGAATATTTTATTTTCTGAAATCAACATGGTGTACATTTACACTGCAGACAATGACCATTGCAGAACTTGACCAATCAATATAACTTTAACCACAGACCTTAGAAAAATCTACGTTTTAACACGACTTGAAAAACTAGCAAGGACATTTCATTGGCTGTTTGCTTTCTATACTATCACTGGTATTTTATAGTCATCTTGTTTTTATTTCAAGGTTTGTTGGCAGCAAATATTTAGAAATTTGTGAAATTTGAAAAAAAAAAATGTTAACCGCAAATTGGATGAAAATGTACGCTTTTAAAATACTGTATCACAGCAGAAAAAAAACTGCAAAAATAACATAAGCAGACCTAATGAGGATTTCACAAGTTCAGTCTTTAAATGGCGATGAAAATAGCCTTATTGCCTTCTGCATCATTCTATTTTTTGGGAAAAGTTACACACCATCAGTGGTGATAACAAAAGGTACAATAATTAACATTCTCAATGCAGCAAACATTTTTGTTTCTGTCTTCAGATATTTTTTCAGATATTTTAAATAGCATTAGCTGGTAACATTTTGCTAAACTAAACATCTTCCTGAATTCCTAGTTCACCTTTTAACAAATTTCATTCAAATTCTACAGATACAGTCAAATTAAAACTCCAGTTTTTCAGTGAATTCGTATAAAAGTCTTCCAACAGCCAATAAAATTCTATGCAACATATATCTGGCATTAAGGGCTTTTTTTGAGGGAAGAAGTACAAAATCATACTGGCCCAAATAACATTTTCCAGATGAGTCGCAGAATTATATTTTTAGTTTCACACGCTAGAAATTTCTTTTTTTTATATGAAAGTTCATACAAAATATGCATATTTGTGCATCAGTTCTGAAATTTATGTCTTTATTTTGTTATCTTAAAAATCAGAGTTAACAGACTTTATGGTGAAATGTAAATAAAAACCAGTATAATTTTAGACTTCTTATCTCAGTACCTGGACACTGCCCATTTAGGAATTAAAATAAACAAGCCTATTCATTGATATCGAATCGAACTATGGAGCTCCATAGTCCGACTAAACGTCAGTCACAGAACGATTTCATTTACAAACAAACCGTTAGACTGTCATTACAATCTCAGTGGCCTTTAATTTCTTTGAAGAATACACACGCGAAAACATTAGCATATTCCAGGGCCCTTCAATTCTCTGATAACTAAAGTTCACACGTTACCGACACAGTAAATATTGTGAATGGCATTTTCGCGACTGCCAGCGATGTCCATGTTTTTCACGTACTGTGTTTACGCTCTCGTCCCATTTTTGCCTTATTCAACTCCGCAGTCAATAACACAATCTTTTGATTCAACTCCTCAATCGTCCTATCTTTTCTTTCCGAGCTCCTCTTCTCCGTTAAACGACTTTCTTTATCACGTTGTCGCTTCTGTTTCTCCAGTTTGAGCGATTCCTCTAGTTCCGTCACATAGTTTTCAACGCGGATAAATTCCTTCACTAAATCAGTCTTGATCATAGAATGGAGCGCTTCCTCGTGCAAGCGTTCATACGTTTCACTAAAATCTTTTTCGAAGAACTGTACTTCCCCGTCGCTCGTGCAAAGCTCGTCCGAAGAGTCCATACTTGTTTGACGCGAGTAAGTCCCGTCCATATTGAAATCCGGGGTGTTGACTTTGTGGTCTTCCATCAAAAACTGAGTTGTGTTATACGGTGTCAACCGATGTTTACGTTTTTCTTCGGCGCGTTTAGCTTCTCTGTCTTCCAAATTTTTCTTTTCTTTCCAAGTCATTTCGGTATACGGCTTCCATCTTCGTTTGGTTTTGTTTTTTCCACGGCGATGCTTCTTTTTCCCAGGAACAAAATTTCCATTCGTCTCCGTGCGGTGATTATTATTGTTCGTGGCCCCTCCTCTTCTGGTTCTTGATCGCTCGGTCTCGTCGGGGCTACATTCACTCGATTCTATTCTCTGATCGTCTGCTTCCATTTTACTAAATTCTCCGGAAATACGCCGCTCAAGACTTGGCATCCCACGATGGGTAGACCGTAATCTTAATGAAAATTTCACAAAATCCACGGTGGGTGAAATTAGTGGGCGATAAACAGGCTGTGTACTCACAGACATGTGCTCTGTCCTCTACAGAATCCTAGCGTCAACTGATTATTTTCAGACTGCCACACAACACTTCAATCCGTCACGTAAGTAGTATTCATGCGCAAAAAACATAAACCGGAAATGTGAAAAAAAATGCGTATATCGGATATTTCACAGCCATCGATTGTAGAATATATAACATATTTTAAACAAGTTTATCTACGTGAAAACAGAGCTTACAATCATAAAGCCTAATAATGCAATATTAGAGATTTCTTGGCGAGTACCTAAGCACTTTCGCGGAACAATATAGCAATTATGCTAATTAGATGATGTCGAAATGGACGTGGCAAAGCGCAGTCACGTGGTTAGTTTGTTTACGCAATTTGCATACAATTGTAAACTACGGAAGCAGTTAGGGTTATTTTTAGAGCTTTGCCAATAACTGATATTGGAGCGGCAATATTGATATTCGATATTGTAATATTTCGACCGTTGACACGGACATACACTTGTTTATTGTGTCCATCGAGAGCAGCTCGTGTTCCCTGACTGCGTTATATGCCTTCGACAATTCCGGCAACACGAGCCACGAAGACATGACTCCGGAAAAACTCCGGAGGATACGAGTGAATCGGAAGTTGAACCACAGACCCCCGGCACAATCGGTTTATTGTAACTCAATATTCGTGTCTTTCTTTATTGTAGTTTCTGTGTCAACATTTTTTTTATTATTTATTATTTTTATATACAAAACCACAGTGATTGTATTTGTAGGAGGGGTGACTTTTCATAACACTTGCATTGACCAGGGAGCTGTCTCATTACAGTTCCCTGCATAGACTACCAATGATGTTTTTAAAGCAATGGCGGATCTAGGGGGCTTGGGGTCCGGGGACCCCCCCGTTGAAAAAAATATTCAATTTGTTTTTGTATAATACAAAAATCTTTAAAGTTTGGTCCCCCCATAAAAAAAACTGTATCCGCCCCTGTAAAGACTGACATATGTTAAACTATGGTAGGTAGAAAAAAGATCTCTTTTCTACCTCCATGGTTAAACTTGAATACTAAAATGCTTTGTGTGTTTTTTTTTAGACTAACAGGGGTAGCCCGGCGTGGATCAAGATAACGTCGACAAAATCCCCCCCCCCCCACCGTGACATCACGTGTCCAAGGTACAATGTGTTTGCTATGTCCTGACATGTCTCGCTCGTTTTAGCGACGCTTCCCGACTACCTCTATGATTGTATATTATTTACAGCCAGGCGTGGCAGATTTAAAAATTTGGTCAGTTGGGCCCGAAATTATAGAGGTTCTGGTCGCATTACCCTTTTCCCGTAAATATGTTAAAACACATTATCTCGACCGGTCTAGAAACGGACCGTTTTTCTTTAAAACAGGGCTCGTCGTGTGGGTAAATAAACCATTCACACCTGCGGATTAGAGTGCATATCATGAGCGTTGTCTATGGAGGGACTGTACTAGTTAAACATGCAATTATCACAATTTAATCTATATACTGTGTTTAATTTTCCAAAACGACATGCTGCGACTTTCAAGTAAAAGTAAAACCTCCGACATGCTCTTAGTGTGAGCGTTTTTAGCTCCATGATGTGAGCGTAGGCTTTACTAAACGAACCTGGCAGCTGCTTGCTTGGACAATGATTGTTTTTTTTCAGTGGGTTTATGTTTATGTTACCACTCAATTACAACACGGGCATGTGTTAAGGACCATTATGGGTTGGATGGACTTCTGTGATGGGGTTGTGTGGAGGAGGGTGTTTATGTGAGCATCCGAGAGTTTGCAGTGTACACACGGACCGGGGCACGGCTACTAAAATAAACCGCATCGGTGATGACTACACATTGACACTTCAGAGTACGAGTCTATTCGCATGAACACGAACAAGTCGCGTGAGCCATGAATAAGGGGTCGACCATTTGACAATATGGGGGTGGCTGGTAGATTTGTTGAAACGAATTGCAAGCTAGAGGTGGTTTTGTTACTGACAGGTGGTGTGTATGATTGGAGGCACGGTAAAATTGCGTTAGGGGGTTCTGTATGCATGACCTCCTAATATTTACAAGTCTATTCACTGCTCACGTGACTAATTGATCTGACGTCACGCTGCTGCCAATGGCTACAGTATTATTGTTTTCGCCAACAAGCTTCTGCGGCAATGCTGTATCACCGAGTAACCGACAGTCACGGTGCAATTGTGTCAGGGGTTTCGGTATGCATGGTCTATACGCATGGTCCACGAGCGTATTCATTAGTCACGTGACCTGTTTAATGAGTGACCAGAGAAGTGACATCATGCTGCTGTGAATGGCCATATTATTGTTGTTTCTGACTGCTTAATACGGTTAATGCAGTACCGCCGAATATTTAATCGTCTGTTTAATGGAATGAGCTTATATTTATTTATTTATTTATTTATTTATTTATTTATTTATTTATTTATTTATTTATTTATTTATTTATTTATTTATTTATTTATTTATTTATTTATTTATTTATTTATTTATTTATTTATTTATTTATTTATTTATTTATTTCAAGTTATACTCCACCGCACTCCTCCCCAATTAAACTTATAGCGACCTCTTGGGAAAGAAATGCGTTCGGTGTGCGTTGTACAATCTCGTAATCTCTCTAAACGCATTTTTTTTCGTGTTACTTCTAAATGTCTCTTAAATTATAAATCAGAAGCTAAAATGACTCCTGGATCTCTAATTGTTGTCTCGCTATTTGTAAGGACGGTGATCGTTTAAAATTCCATGTAAACACACAGTGTATTTTAGTTTCACGTGTTGTGTACGACGTTTTGAGTGCCAAATCGAACAGAACGCGGCGCGACGACCACCGCCCTTTAAATGTTTATTCTATATTAAGCAGTCATTATTAAAACAATTTTTTGTTAGTAAATAATATAACATTACAATTACTAATATTCAGTTTTAGTTAATTACAGGGGCATTGACACTACGATGTCGCTGTTTGGACTTTGTACATTGCTACTAGTATTA